GAGTAATAGGTCCAAATAAATCAGGGTGTAGTAATTCTAAAGGTCTAGAAGGTAGAAACCATGCCTTTTAGATTTGACAAGATGTTATTGGTTTGTTTGCCCAATTGACAAGCATTCACAAATGTTGATTTTTTTGAAACTTTTAGCTTTTGGCAAACCACCAAATTAATTTTCTGAGACAATTTAGAAATAAGGTGCATGCTTGCATATGTCCAAGGTCTTCTACGTGCCATAAACCAATTAGAAGAATTAGTCAAACAGAAAACTAAAACATATAATCTAGGTTATGTATATCAGAAAGGATCTACTAGGTATATATCTTAAAACCTTTTTCCAACAAATGGAAGTTTTGTTATCATGCATGTTCTGAACTTTCACAATAAGAGGGTTCAAAGATACACTCTTTCTATTTTTATCACAAATTTTTGAATCACACTTAACAATTATAATGCTAATCCTTCTACTAAGCATACATCTTTCTATTGAAGGATTAGAAACTACCGACACCAAATACCACACGATTATACCTTTTGCTTTGTCTCCAAAACTTACTGTACTTCCCTTTTTCTTTTCTAATCGGTGAATTTCGTTTTTTCTAATCTGGTGAATTTCTTTCTATCACCAATCATATGCCTAGAGCAAGTGTTGTCCATGCACCACATTTCTGTTTTCAGCTCACTCCTTAGGCACACATGAAAAGATCATGCAGATTTAGGTACCCAACTTATATTGGGTCCCAGAGGGTTAGTGGTAACAAGTGTATTCATCTTACTATGATTTTTCTTTCTATTGAGACTATCAGATTTCTGATATTCTAATGTCACATCATTAGAAATATCATTTTTCTTATTAGAAACATGATTTTGTTTTGAAACGCTATCATAGCTAGAACTTGTCTTTTCTTTAGAAATCGATTCTGAAATTGACTTTAGAATTCTAATCTCAGTTTTCAAAGATTCATTTTTAGAATTCAGATTCTTACATTTTTCTTTAAAATGTTCCAGATTTTTAGAAAATTTATCATTACAATCTGTAAGATCTTTGATCTCATGACATGATCTTTGCATGTAACTTCTTGATAAAAAGCATCTTTCAAATGATTACATTCAGTTTTTAATTTTCTGAAATCCTTCTTTAGCACTTTATGCTTTTTAACAAGCTTTTCAAATTCAATGCAAAGGTTATTATATGTATCTAAAAGATTATTTTCAAATTCAGGTTCAGAAATACTTACATTGCTTTCTTCACGTTTTTGGCCTGTTGCTCTGTTTTATTACTTTCAGCTTTCTGTGTTGAAGTCAAAGTGCTGATTTCCTTGGAGTCAGAATTGATAGTGGCCATTAGACAGATATTTGCAGTTTCTTAATATTTGCAGTTTCTTCTTGGTCACTTTGGCTTTTCAGAATTAGAATCATCTGAATCACTCCAAGCGGCTACGAATGTCTGCTTTAACTTTTCTTTCTTTGACTTTTTCAAAAATTTTCATTTAAAAATTTAATCATAAATTCTAACCAATGAAATTCAATGGAAAATATTTTATTATTGCTAAACTAGACCTATAAACCAGTTTGAATTTTTCAAAAACCAAGTGAAAAACCCATAAACCAAGCAACCACTCTTTTTATAGAACTTTTTGAATCTCTTAGCAACAAGTGCTAAATCATCACTATCAAGATCAGAAGAACTCTTCACTAGAATCTACTTTTCAAAGCCAGTCCTTTTCTTTTTCTTATCTTCTACAGTTCAAAGAAGATCCTCAGTCAAAGAAGATCTCATCTCTTTTGAAACAAGAGCTCCTATCAAGTAATCATAAGTAACGAGAGTCTCTTTGTAATTCATAATAGTTTCTATAGAATCTCATTTTTTAGATAGAATTCTAAGGATTTTCTTAACAAGCTTATCTTCTAAAATTTTCTTTCCGAGAGTTCTCAAAGGATTAACTATATTAGTAAATCCAAAATTTAATTCAACAATAGTTTCTCCTTCTTTCATACTAAACATTTCATATTCTCTCCAAAGGATATTAATTCTAGATTCCTTCACTCGATCAGTACCCTTAACTCTAAAATTTTTCCTAGACCTTCCGTTGTGAGACTTACATCTAGACACTTTGTTGTATTCTGTGGAATCTAATGCACGGTGAATAATATTAATAGCTTTGCTTTTGCATTTATAGAAATATCATTCCAATCAGCATCAGTATATTCTTCTTTTGTTTTTCTAACTGTCTCATTTTCTACATTTTTCATAGGAATACGAGGACCAGTAATGATGTTCCTTCAGCGGTTTATGTCAACTGATTTTATGAAATTTTCCATTCTAGTTTTCCAGTAAGAGTAATTAGAACCATTGAACAAAGGTGTTCTAGAAACAGATTGACCTTCTAAAGATGTAAGAGGAAGTGGGGCTGCCATGGGATCTTTCTCTCAAGCTGTTAAGCATTGGTAAGTCAAGAGCCAATGCTCTGATACATGCTCTGATACTAGATTGTGGGGTCCCGTAAAAGTATGGTTACAACCCAAGAGGGGAGATGAATTGGGTTTTCTAAAAAATAAAAATTTAACTTTTAAAAAAAAATCAGGAATTTTATTGCAGCGGAAATAGAATTGCATTTGTGAGAGTAAGTATAAGATAGAAACTTCCTCACCCCAAAAAAACTCTATGGCAGAAAAATAGAACAGACTTTGTAAAAGAGCAGCTATTGAAAGAATGCTTCACCAATATCTTAATCAATTTCAAAACCTACTTTATGAATGAATTGTATTAAATCAATTTCAAAACTACTTTATGAATGAATGTTATTAAGTTTTTGAACTACTTCATAAAGTTTAGACAAATATTAAAGAGTATATGAGAGACAGTCATCGAATTTCTAAACTGCGTCACAAAACTTTAAGTAAACTTAGAAAACTGTTTAAAACCCAAATTGTGAAATATATTGAATATGGAAGAACTGATTAGAACTTGGTATATTCACAATGCAGGAGTTCAGAGTTCTAATGTTCAATAAAGATAAAGCTTATTCGAGTTTAGAACAAAAAACAATTAATAACTTAGCATTTCTAAAAGATTAACAGAAGTATCAGTAAAAAGGTATCAAGCAGAACTTCAGAAAATAAAAAGATTAACACAATGATTTATAGTGGTTCAACACTAACTCGTCTACATCCACTCCTCAAGACTCATCTTAAGATCCTCCACTATGGTATCTCTTTTTAAGGTTAAGAGACAAACCAACAGTATAAGATAATAGATCAACTCCTAGATCTACCCTTTGTCCCACTAGATTTTCCAAAAGGTTCTAGTCAACCTCAACCCTTTTTATTTTTGTTGAGAACAGAAACTCAAATCAAGACATTAGAATCCCACACAAGGAGAAGGTCGCTTGATAACCTATTTCACAATAGCTTTTCACCTAAGCTCCTACCTTTAAATTCACCTAAGCTATTACACAAATGTTTTTCAAATAAAAATCTGTCTACAACAGATTACAGAATCTATATAGACAAAGAGAAATGCAAATATAAGTGTAGGAAAAATAGAAATCAAGATTAGAAAATCATTTTAAAGAACATAATCTGCTTTTCAAAAGAAGTTGTTTTAAAATTTTCTTTTCTCTTTTAAAAATAATACGTGAAGTAATAAGATAAAAAGAAAGAAGGGGGTTGAGAGTAAGTTTTGAGAGATTAAAGATTTGATCAATGGACTTATACTCTTAAAACAAAAACCCACGTCTTTTAAAGAGAAAGACGCCTTTTATAGAGAGGGATGAGAATCCCGTCTTAGAAAGTAAAATCTCTCCTTTTAAATAAGAATATTAACTTTCAACTTTCCAATTTTTATAAGATACGGGAATCTTGTTACCAAAAATTCTTTGAGCAAAAATCTTTACTTTTAAGGTAAGCGAAATAGAATAAGATTTTAGATTTTCCTTTAAAAAATAGTTTTCGAAAATAAATAAAAAAAATCTTTTTAAAAATATTTTATTGCCAATAGTAATTAAGATAAAATCTCTTTCATTTAGGTAAGTGAATCAAAATTTTCGAAAGTGAGAAATTTTATTACCATAAATGATTAAGACAAAATCTCTTTTATTTAGGTAAGAAAATAAAAAAGAATCATGATTTATCTTTTATAAATTAAGATAATTTCTGAAAATCATTTTGAGAGAGAGAAGAGAGGAAATATTTTGTACTATAAAAGGATTATTCTCTCTATCCGTACAATTGAATCCTATATACTTAACCACTAAAATCTTTCAATGTCTTTATGATCTTCATTTAAACTTGGATTGTTGGGAATTGCTTGTTTATTAGTTTTTCCATATTTAAAACATGAAAAAAAATCTGCATAAAAATAATATTAGCACAAATAAAGTAATTTAAAGTTTATTGTTTTGCGTTAATCATTAAAATCTCAAGATTAAAATGACCCGTTGAGCCAACAGGGATCTCTGTTAACTCCTCCCCACAGGAAAGAAGCCAGTTGGAGTAATGGGGTGTCACAATAACATAGGGCAAAGATGGTTCAATTGAAGGAGGGTACAAGGCTAGATTGGTAGCCAGAGGATTTCAGGTCAGACCTATGGAGTGATTATCAGGGGAAACATTTGCCCCCCTGTAAGCCAAGAGTGAACACAATCAGAATTTGTTGTCTTGTGCAGCTCAATCTTGACTGGCGAGTTACATCAATTTGATGTTAAAAATGGCTTTCTTACATGGTGATTTGAAAGAAGAGGTTGTATATGGAAGATTCATCTTGAATTTGATGATGACAAAACCAGAGGAAAAAGTTGTGCAAGCTGAAGATCATTATTATGCGGCTGAAACAATCACCAAGAGGGCAGTAGTTTGGAAAAAGGAAGGGGTTTAGTAAAGCTAGTGCGTTTTCTTTGGGTATTATTCAGAGCGATGGCGTGATCATACTTGTTCATTAAACATCATGAAGGTAAGATCACATTTGCTTATTGGTTTCTTATTGTTTATGTTGATGATATAGTGATGGCTGGAAATAATGAAGAAGAAATGACTCACTTGAGAAATTTGTTAGCCAGGGAGTTTGAGATTAAGGATTTGGGAAAGTTGAGATATTTCCTTGCAATAGAAGTTGCTAGGTCGGAAAAAGAGATTTTTATTTCTCAGAGAGCGTACATCCTTGATCTCTTTAATGAAACTGGTATGTTGGGATGTAAACCTGCAGAATCACCTATTGAAGCCAATCATAAGCTTCAAGCTGGAGTGGGAAGTTCAGTTGATGTTGGTAGATATCAAAGATTGGTAGGGAGGTTGATTTGCCTTGCCCATACTAGACCAGATATTGCATATGCTGTAAGTTTAGTGAGTCAGTACATGCATGACCCTCGAGAGTCTCACTTAGAAGCAGTGCATCGGATTATGACCCTCGAGAGTCTCACTTAGAAGCAGTGCATCGGATTCTAAGATATTTAAAATCAGCTCCAAGTAAAGGACTTTTATTTTCTAAAAATGGCCATTTAACAATAATAGGCAATAAAGAAGCGGATTGGTCTAGTTACCTTAATGACAAGAGATCAACCTCAGGTTGTTGTGTTTTTGTTGGAGGAAACCTGGTCACATGGAGAAGCAAAAAGCAGGGTGTTGTTGCAAGGTCCAGTGCATAAGCTGAATATAGAGCTATGGCACCGGGAATCTGTGAACTTCTATGGTTGCACAGATTAATGGAAGAATTAAAATTGATTGAAACAATGAATATATCCTTGTTTTGTGATAGTAAAGCAGCCATCAGTATTATGAACAATCCAGTCTAGCATGATCAAACTAAGCACATAGAGATTGATCGTCACTTTATATCGTCCACTTTATAAAAGAGAAGAATAGTTGAAGGTTTTCACTTTATAAAAGAGAAGATAGTTGAAGGTTTTATAAGTGTCTCCTATATAGCTTCAAAAGAGCAACTAGCTGATGTTTTCACAAGGGGTTTGCATGGCAAGTTGTTTCATCCTTTAGTTTGCAAGTTGGGCATGAGCAATATCTATGCACCAACTTGAGGGGGACTGTTGAAATTTTTGTGATTAAAGTAAATATTGTGTTTCCTAGTTTAGATTTATTCCTAATTGGAGTAAATATTGTGTTTCCTAGTTTTGGTTTATTCCTATTCAGATTACTTCCTATATTGGAACAATTTTTTTGTATATATATAGTGGAGTAGAGGTTGAAAAAGATAATACAATAGAAAGAAATACAACATATTATTTCCTTTAATTTCTTCATGTATAACTAAACTGAGTTGCTTATACATGTAAGAGAATTAACGAAGGTGAAACATGATGGATATATCAGACATTGTTAGCAAATGCCTCAGTCTATCAGTATATAGTTGTTGGTTTGGAGCTTGTATGTGTTATCTAGATTGAATGAGGCAAAATTGTTATGATTTATAATGCAAAAGTGGTGATAGTTGGCAATAGCTTAGCTACTAGCCCTGGCAAGGCTAATCCCAACTTGTGTAGATTGTGATTCATTTTGAAGAGATTATGATAAATATGTTGTCATGTCAGTAAGAGTAATTAACAAGTCCAAAGAAAAATACATCATCTGTAAGTTTTGGTGAATCTTTTAGTTGATGTGCAAATGACCAATTAGTCTCTTGTAGATGACATAAAAAAAGAATTTTGTACACATGCATATTCCAATTTTCAGGGATAGACGTAGGGTTCAACATAGAGGGGGGCTAAGTATTTAAATGGACATACGATTGGTAATAATTAAAAAAAAAATTGCACTTTACCAAACAATAATCAACATTCATGCCAAAATATAATCAAAATGGAATTTAATAGCTCAAAAAAGAGCATGTCGCTTTGTTAAGTCACGAAAATCATCTATAATTGAATCTATAGTAAATTTTTTAGCAATGTCTTTTTCAATAAACAACATCAAACAATCAGAGAGGAATTCATCTTCAATCTTATTACGAAACTTGTTCTTAATTATGTTCATAGTTGAAAATGATCATTCCGTAGTAGCTGTAGAACCTGTAAGAGTTAGAATAAGAGTCAACACTCTATATACAAATGGATAAATCTCAGATTTTCTCGTTTTCACCATCCATTAACACAAATCTGAAATAGTTGACAGTGCTTCAGAATCAGAAAGTTGTCGCACATTATAAAAAAATGCTCAAGTTGCACCCTTAATTGCATCGTCTCTTATTCAGCAAAGTCTTGAGGATAAATTTTTTGTACCAGTTGACAAACGTCATCAATTTTGAATAATGCATGCATCTCCTTTGGATCTAAAGCTGAGCTAAGAATAAGCAATTTTGTGGTATGATCATTGAACTTATTATTCAACTCTTGCAATTGAGAATGAATAACAACATTGAAAATGTCGATTTTGTAATGATGCTCTATAGTAATTTCATCTTGTTGATGGTGAGCCCTTCCTCTTCTTGCAACACAATGAACATTCAAATCTGGGATAGTTATGTTGACTGATTCATAAAATATTTTACATTAGCAATTAAGTCATCCCATCCTTCATCTCTTAATTTTTGGAAGAGTAACTTAACAGATAAAACAAGATGCATTGCATTTAAATATCTTGAGATAGAAGTTATAAAGTTTGGCAGAGCAAATTTGAAATCTCAAGAATTCTTTCATAAGATGTAAAATAAAAATGAATTCAAAAGAGGTTAATGCCTCACAAGCCGCATCTGCATCTCCACATTGAGTTGAAGTAGCTTCATCATCAATTATATTCAATAGAACTTTACATGTTACACTGAACATATTAATCAAGCTAGAAATAGATCTCAAATGTGAACTCCATCGATTATCTCCTTGCCTTTGCAAGGTAACAATTTGATTATGTCCTTTTCCACTTTAAAGGTTATTAATTGCAAGTAAATTGGCAATTTTTGCAACATGAGCAACTTTTAGTTGATCATTACATTTACTTGATGCACCAACTATATTGATGATGGAACTTAACTTAGTAAAAAAAATGATGAATGGGGCTAACTTCTTTTGATGCAGCAACTAATGCTAATTGCAAACGATGTGCCATACAATGAACATAGTAAGCATAAGGGCATACACTTGAAATCAAAGCCTGTAACCCATTCCATTCTCCTCTCATATTAATTGTAACACCATAACCTTGTCCTCTAATGTTTTGAACATCAAGGTTATATTGAGAGAGAACAAAAAAGATTTCTTCTTTTAATGTTAGTGCAGCAGTGTCCTTAACATGAACAAGCCCAAAAAATGCTCTTTCAGGCATTTGTTTTTATCAGCAAATCTCAACACAATAGACATTTGCTCCCTTTTAAAATCATCTCGAGCTTCATCAATAATTATACAAAATTTAGTCATCATTAATTTTCTCTTGAATAACTTTTTTTTTACTAATTGAGAGGACTTGTAGAATTTCTTTTTGTATCCTTTGTGACGTATATAAAGCATTTTGTGGAGCTTTGTCTAAAACTTCTGCTATCTTATCATTGTAAGATGATATTGAATTTAATAACTGACAAAAAATTTTCTGATCTTAGCGATGTTTTAGTTTCATCATGACCTCTAAAAGCACACCCTTGAAATGCAAGCCACAAAACTGCATCAATTGAAGGCACCCTGAAGTTTACATCCTAATTCTACTTGGATTCGAAGCTTTCAATCGAGTTCTATCATCTTCAACTTGTTGAGGATGTAAATTGCTCAAACCCTTTTTGAATGTGTGAAGATTGATTCATGAGATATGCACATGCTATTTCAGCATTTCGATGAGGAAAAGTGAGATCTTTCCCAGCATTTCGATAAGGAGAAGTGAGATCTTTCCCAAGAGGAACAATCTTGACCACTTCTTACTTTTTTCTATTTTTGAAAATCCATTTACAATGAAATCATTTAATTCAGAAGGACCATTTTGCCTATGGAATATATAACAAGGTATACAAAATGTTGCATCTTTAGTAGGGGAATATTTCAACCATAATGAAAATAACTTAAACCGTGATGATTGAAAACTGGCTATTTCTTTTCCCTAGATTTTGGGTAGTATGAGAAAATGCATTGATATGGATCAGTCTGTTAGATTATTTAATAATCTATATGTGGCCCATGTGATTAAAGGGCTGGTTCTAATTAAGGTGGCCCAAAATGATGGTTATTGGGCTTAATGGTGATGGTTATTTGGCTTAATGGATAAGGTCAGTAGGGTTTTTTTAATACCCTCCTCTGCCTTATTTAAAAGATAAAGATTCAACAGTTTAGGGTTAACACATAAAAAGAAAAGAAAAGAGTGTGATGACTACCTCAAAACACATACGGTGTAGGTTGTTTGAGAGGAGCGTGAAAAGAAACTCCTAGAAAGAAACTCCCGTATGCGCTGGTTTGATTAATTCTTCTCTAACCATAGAGAAAAAATTTACAGGCAAAAGGCCAGAGTGAAGAAACATAGATTCTGCTGTTATTGGTGAGAATCGAATTGCCGCAACGAGATAATCTCATAACATAGATCATACTATTATGGTTCAATGTAGGCTTCCGATTATTGTATAATTCTGGTCAAAACAAATTCTATGAATTAATGTCTAGGGCTATATCAAAAGTTTATTTAACATGTGGTATCAGAGCTGTTTGTAACCTGTTCTACATTTGTTGATTAGATGTTTTGTTTGGCTTTAAATTTAATGAAAATTAAATTTTCGTATTGTGAGTTGATTAATCTGGTATAAACGAAGCCAAAATTTTAGAATATGAAAACTGTTTGTTTTCTTTATAAATTATTTTGCTGTATTATTATAAGAAAAGGTTTATGACATCTTATTTGTTTATGTCGTTAAAGTTTTGAGATCTTAATTCAAATCTCATAAAAAAGTTTTTGCATAAATCAATGTTCAATGAATGGAAAACTTTTGTTACGTCACCGAAGTGGGCTTGTTTGGATTGTTTTAGACATTGATTTTGCAGTTTTTCAATTGTTCATATTTTGTGTGTGGGATGCGTATAACATGAAAGTTAAAATTGAACAATTGCGTTCATTGATTATAATTTGTTACGTACCCAAAGGTAGACCATTAATTATAATCAATGTGCATTAAAGAGGACTTATTCATTGGACTAATTAATATAAATGTATATTCCAAAATACATGCATTATTATATGGAGCATTATTTGAATAGTGAAAAAATAGTAACTGGATTCCAGAAGGAGCACGGCGTGCTATGGACTTCCAGAGAAAAGCACGGGGCATTGCTTATAGTGAAGCACGGGCGTGCGCCTCTCTTTCTGAGGTTGCCATAAAGGTTAGCAAGTTTGCTCTACATCAATTGAAAGTTTGTTCAAAGTATTTTTTCTTAGCATCATTTATTGATTAAAAGCTATGCATTTAAATATTACCAAAGGTGAATCTAGATGCATAAATTAATGTATTATTTTGTTTGAATCCATTTATGTTACTTCAAAGCATTAACGTATGAGAATATGTTGTAATGTTTTCCTCGAAAACGCGAATTTCTGTATTTTTGGTGTTATTTACTTTGTTTTTTTTTATGGAAAAAGAGTGATAAAACTCTTTTTGGATCGCGATGCCGATTATATCGCGTCTTATTTATCATTTTAGTCGCCACCCATTAAATTTTGCAATGGGACCGTTCCATTTATTTTAAAAGTGACTCCTTTTTTAATCCCATTTTATTAAGGCCAAAATTATATTA